CTCCTTATTTCCAGGTTGAATCTCTCCTTGATCAGTTTCCATCCATTATTCCTTCTCTGGCCATCAGGTGCTTTGGAAAATAGCTTGAAACCCCCGCCCCCCCCTCTTTGTAGCAGCCTTTCAATTATTGGAAGACTGCTATCATGTCTCCCCTAATCCTTCTCTTCACTTACTCTGATAGAAGTTACATGATGCCAGATTCGGTCCTATATAATATTTGGAATAAGATTATGTGATCCAATTTCACAATTGACTCTTGGATAGCTGACGAGGTATGAGTCAGCCTGATGTTGCAGTATTGCAGCAGAATTTCCTTCTTACGCTTTCACAGTCCGTCTAATCATTGTGTTCAAGGCTTGGTTGTTACAGTGTGGCACTCTTGTGTTGATAGTCCGGGTTCAAGGAAATCCATCTGAATAGCATCATCTACGTCCCCAAGAATTATAACCAATGAGTTTTCCTACCAAAGCCTGGACTGTGCATTTTGTTTTTTGTAGGTGAAGTTTTGTGGTGCTACTGCATGGAACAATTCTTCAATTCTGGCTTACATCAATGATCCTATGTTTCATTGGCTGTCACACGCACTGAAGAAATTGCTCAGCTTCCTTCCTATAGCATGACAATAATTGCTGGCCAACTTCAACTCTTGAAGTTTTCACCTCTGTCATTAGCATGCAAGGAAGCCCTCTTCCACAAACCTTCCAAGGTGGGAGAACATCAATAATGTAAACCCCACCCCCGTGTTCCTGTGAAATGCCATGCCTGATAGCAGTTTCTCTTCGAATGATCCCCCAATGGTCCTCAATCCATCCATCAACTTTTCTCCTGGGAAACCAGTTTGGTTGCTGTCACACATTGTCCACTTTGTTCTGGAACCTACAAACCAGCTCTTTCTGGTTCATCGTCTCTTATATTTTTGGTCCAAGGATGCATAGTGTAAACATCGATGCTCTTACCATCATCCCAAACCTGCACTTGATGATGAATTTCAATTGGAGGGACTTCTGTCAGTCAAAAATTTAGTCAACATGCCTGTAACATGCCTTAATTCCCACCCCTTGAAGTGAAAGGAGATGCTAAAAAACATATCAGGGCTTTGGAGATATCAGCACTGCCATCTGTTGGCCACTTACAGAACTGGATGGATTATTTTTCATTCAACTCCTCTTGTATTTAATTTCTAATGTATATTTCACTACTTCTTGTTTAGATTTTTTTTAATACTCACAGGCAAGAAGCAAGGCTAAAAATGCAGTTGTCCTTCTTCTCCATTATCTTACATTTTCTTCTTCTCTATCTCATCTCTTACTTAAATCATAAATCATTTGACGTAGTCTGCCGTTAACCTTCATATTATATTAAACTTTACTCCTATTGATTTTTGTTGTTTCTCCCGCCGTTTCCCATCATTAGAGAGACTCTTAACTGAAATCGGTGATACTAAAACTATAGTAGTTACACCTGAGTTGAGGTTACAACAGCCTCATTAGCGGCAAAGCTATTTCATTGGTGGCAAGGATATTTGTTTCTTTTTCTGTGCACTTCTCTACAACACACCCTGCAGTCCAAACATACAACGCTGAATTATGGTCATAAGTTGAGGACTACCTGTGCTGTTAAAATAAATAAATAAGCCTTGTCCTTGTTCCTTTATTCAAATCTATCTTCCAGAGTTACAGTCAGTAAGCACAGTGTATTAAGTGATGCATTTGTGTCTTGTGTAACGTATTTTGAATTGCTTCTTGTTTGGGAATTTGGGCTGGTTAATAAAGAGATAGCATTACTTTTTTGCTTATAACACACAGTTTCTTGATTTCCGCCTCTGTACAATAAGCCTGCAAATTCAAAACATGCTATGTCTGGTGCTGCAGGCTTTCTAAATATGACAGATGCCGTTCGTGAGCTAAAAGGCATTCTCTATATTCACACCGCAGATCATAATAAGAATTAAAAGCTTAGATAAAAGTTAAGCAAAGCAATTTCTTGTTGAAAATAAGAAGTAGCTTGTTGGGCTTGATAAGAGGATAGTGTTGTGTTAATGCCAGTGATTTTAGGACAGCTTCCGTATCATTACTTAATAGGTTGTCCAGTATAGTGATTCACTGTTCTTAGTCTGCAGTATCCTAGCAACAGAAACATACCTGCTTGGGAAAGGAAGATGAAAGGCTGTTCAGAAATATTTCTGCATATACAAGGCCATTTAATATTACCAGCCATCTCAGAATTTTAGTTGCATTGCTTTGGAGAGGTAAGAATTTGCCAATCTTCAGGCTGGTCATCTGCGTCCACTAATACCCTGATTAGTGTTTCCTGTTTAAGGAGAGAATTTCAGCTGTAAATAAAGTCCAAATATTTTATTACCCTTCCTGATTTAAGTTGAAGTCTCTTTGCTTTCATTCATTGCTTTCATTCCCAGAACAAACATGTGAATTTATATTTTCTTCCTCCAGTCAATGCTTTAAAACCGCCCTTCACGAACCTTGATGCTTTCTAGATATGTGGGGTTCCAAGTCCCAGAAACCCTTACCAGCATTGGTGCTGTTGGTAGGGATCTCGGGTGAAAATATTTATGAAAATGAATACGCTGAAAGCTCTTTGCAGTTTTGTTGATGTTCTGCGGTTTTCATTCTTTTCTGTATTACTTAACAGGGGAGAAGAAAAAACCTAAAATCCAAGTGATGGCTTATAAGTGCTATAGTTTCTTACCAAGATGTGGTTATTGTGATGGGAATTGTGGTTGAACAATAGCTAGAGACCATGCTTTGATCTTAACTCTAGCATGCAAATATGGACTGCGAAACGTAGCTTTCTGCAGCATTTTTAAAGGACTCAGCATTTTTAGAAGACCTCAGTATCTCATAGTGACAAAGGTTTAAGAAGCTCTAGTTTTAAATATGCTACGGTGAGCCCTAAGTGCTTTGCTCAATTGGGAAAGTAAATTCTTGTAGCACATGAGATGTCCGCATTTTTTGGGGGGGAGGGGGATCACACCTAATCACATTGCAAGATGTATTCAAGGCAAGGGGTTATTACAACATTTAAAAGCTAAAGTGGAAGGAGACGAACAAAACACAAAAGAAATAATAATGACGATTAGAAATTCGTTTTGTAGTGATTGAAAGTTTGAGCTGAGCTGAGTTTTATTAAACTGAGTCACTAGTTCACTTATCCTCTTTTTGTTTCTGTTTTTATACAGGTCTACGGGGGCTAATTAATCTTGGGAACACATGTTTTATGAACTGTATTGTCCAAGCACTTACTCACACTCCACTGCTGCGAGATTTCTTCCTCTCCGACAGACACAAATGTGAAATGCAAAGCCCCAGCTCGTGTCTGGTCTGTGAAATGTCTACGCTTTTTCAGGAGGTAAGTTGCCCCTTTGTGCCCTTGTTGAGATTGTCACACTTTCATCTTTGTGGTGTGTAAGAGGCAACCAGAGAGATTGCTCTACTCAATATTTTAGGCTTCCTTCATATCCTCTTTCATACTCTCCCATTTTCAAGGTGCCACAGGCATTTACAATAGAACGATCGCCCATAATTTGCTCTTATTGGTTTAAAGTAATCATGGATCTAACTTTGGGTTGGTAGGTTGGTTTAAAAACATATTTTCAGTCTGGTCAGCTGATTCTGATTGATTATAACAACGGTTGCCAACAGGTGGTCCGTGGACCACTGATGGTCCGCAAGAAAATTTTGGTGGTCCGCAGAAAGAATATTTGCATTTTTTTATATTGCACGAGATCAGGGGTCCTCAAACTATGCCTCCTGGGCCGGATACGTGCAATGACTGCTTGTGGCGCTGCAGAGTCTCCCCCTTTGGGGTCTTTTTGTGCGGGTCAGAGGAGGGCAGAAATTCTAACGGGGGGCGTCTGCTTTAGCCTCCTGGTGGGGGGCTTTGGGCGAAGGCTGGAGGGAAGCACCACTGGTGGTGAAGAGGGCCTCGTTCCAGTGGGACTGCATCAGGGCCTGGAACTGGCTGACCATCTCAGCCCACCCTCCAGGCGCTGGTCCCTGGCCTTGCACTCCCACAGGTCTTCCCTCTGCTTGGAAAGCCCATGCTCGTAGTCCTCAGTGAGGTGCTTCTGCTGAGCCTCCTCCTTGGTCAGATCCAATTTGAATTGGCCTGTTTTGCCAACTTTTTCTCCTGGTGGCTGCTTAGCTCCAGCAACTGCTGCTTGTTGGGGCCCTAAGGAGCCCGGGAGGGCAGGCAAGGAGTCCCTGGGAGGGGAGTGGCAAGAAGAGGCCGGTGAGGCACCCCTCGTCATGAATGACATCGAGTTGGCTATGACCACCCAGTCACATGACCACCTAGCCACGCCTATCCAGCCGGTCATTAGGCAGATCAAATTGGTGGTCCGCGGGAGTTAAAATTATGAATTTAGTGGTCCCTGGGGTCCGAAAGGTTCATAACCCCTGGATTATAACAAGTGTTGTGGCCCGTCAGCTGCCAGCAGAGCTAGCAGCAGAGTCAGACGAGGCTGGGTCAGAACACACAGGTCAGTGTTAACTCTTAGCAACCACATAAATAGGTTTTCTCCATGACAATCCTTCCCCAAAGGGGGTCTTAGGATGTTGCCTCCATTGTCCTTGTAACTGAGCCCCTTATCCTCTTGTTTGCGCTTCTTCACCCTCAGCACCTTCCCCAGGGAGTTTAGGTCTTCGTAGAATGTGTGTGCGCCTTTGTGCTGCCGCGTCTTCTGAAGCATCTCTTCTAAACTCGATTCAAAGCATTTCCTAGCCCAACATCACATACAGACCTGTTCTAAAGGCCTTCGAAACTGTGGGTTAGTTGAGATGCTAAGGTGCTAGAGCTGCACAGACAGCCTGACTTAACACTCTGTCCCTGCAGGTCTGTTGGTTAAAAAGCCTCCTGTTCAACATAAGAGGTAGTTTGGGAAAGTTCCTTTGGGGGTTTTTTCTTCTTCTTCTTCTTCTTTTCCTCTTAATGAAACACTGAGGAATACATATCAGGAGGCCCAAATGAAGTAATTATGGAAAGTAGCACTGGGTAAAGTAATTGGATAATTCCAGAACTAATTGTAAGGAGGGAGATGTTTTATTGCTGCAGTTCTCTGAATTATAGCATCACAACTGTTGTATCAGCAGATTTCGGTAATGCTCAGGCTCTGGTCGCTGTGCCATTCCCGTTGGCATCCTAGGATTGTTCATCGATCCTTTGGAATATAAAAGGCATTTGTGTATTGTTGCGTTGCTGCAGTGTGGTTTCAAGCCAACAAAACTCTAGCAGAGCAAGGAAAAATGTTTTCCTCCCAAGTGTATAATACGATGTGTGTAAAAATCTGTAAAGATGCTCCCTTACCCTAAATTTTGGATAACATATTGGGTCTGATACGCATATAAAGAGTTTGGATTCGATTTCTAATAATATACAACCAGTTTGATCTCGTGGTTAAGACACCAAGCTAGAAACCAGGAGATTGTGAATTCTAGTCCCGCTCTAGATTTGAACACCGTCTGGGTGATGTTGGGTGACTGTTGAGTTCTAGTCTCACCCTAGGCATGAAAGCCAGCTGGGTAGCTTCGGGCCAACGCTTCACTCTCAGTCCAACCCACCTCACAGGGTTGTTGTGGTGAGGAATATATATGATATTTAACTTAGTTGAGTTATTTAGGGAATAATTTTAATCATTCCACGAAGAGTTCTTATGTATTTGCTGTTTTGGAGAAAGGGGGGGAAAAAATCCTGAACCTTTTGTTTTCTTTCCTGTCCTCCCCTCTGACTCCCCCCTCCCCCCCTCCATCCCTGGCGCAGTTCTACTCTGGGCACCGATCTCCTCACATTCCATATAGGTTATTGCACCTGGTATGGACACACGCACGGCATTTAGCAGGGTACGAGCAGCAGGATGCCCACGAGTTCCTCATTGCTGCCTTGGATGTGCTACATCGACACTGCAAAGGTGAGGCTGGTCTGATCTTGTGAACGCTCCCCCGGTGCGCCTCTGCAGGTTCAGCCTTTGCAGGCGTCCCTCCGCTTAACGGCCACAGCCGAGCCCAAAATTTACGTCGCCAAGGGAGGCGTTTGTTAAGTGAGTTTAACGTCCCCACTTTATGGCTTTCCTTGCCACAGTTGGGAAGTGAATCCTTGCCGTTGTTAAAATAGTGACACCGTTGTTAATCGAATCCGGCTTCTCCATTGACTTTGCTCGTCAGAAGGTCGCAAAAGGGGGCGGAATCACATCAACGGGATCATGTGAGTCATAAATGCGAGTCATCCGAAGGTAAATCACATGACCATGCGGATGCTGCAACGGTCGTAAGTGTGAAATTGGTGACTCCGAATGGTCCCCAAGCAAACCGTTATAAGTCGAGGACTATCTGTACTTAGCTGTAGGATATCAGAAGGAGGTTTCTGCTTTGCTCTCTCTTAAATTGGCCAGAGCCAACCGTCTCTCTTCTTACTCATTTTCATCATGGCTTTCTTACTATCTGCAGTTGCAGCTGAAAAAAAAAATCCTCGGATTTTGAGTTGCACTAGATTCTGTAGGTTTCATCCTGAAAAAGGAGGAGTCAGTCTAAATGCAGATTGTCCTCATCTTACAACAGTTCATTTAATGACCGTTCAGGGTTACCACATCACTGAGAAAAGTGACGCACAACCATTTTTCACACTTCTTGCCAGGGTTCCAAATAGCATCCTCAATAAAATAAAGAATCCGAGGCTAGGGATCCCTCAAAGTTCCAATTTATCAGAAGAGCCACGTTGGCACATCTGGGAAAACCCGAATCTAAAAGCTTCCAGGCTCCCTCCCAGTTTCCCCCAGTAGAATATACGGCAGGCTTGAGGCCCACTATAAAAGATCGCTTCCAAGCCTGACACTTATGTCTGTTGCAGCACCCCCATGATCACATGATCAAAATCCAGCCTGACTCACATTTATGACGGTTGCAATGTCCCGGGGTTACATGACCCCCTTTGCCACCTTTTGACAAGCAAAGTCAATGGGGAAGCCAGGTTCACTCAACAACTGTGTTGTTAAAAAGTTTGTAATGTGGGGCAAAACTCACTGAACAACTGTCTTGCTTAGCAACGCAATCGTGTTTCGACCTGTAACTCCCAAGTAAACCTCTTCGAATGGTCCTAAATGTGAAGAGGTTTACCGTGGCGTAAACTCCTTTGGACGACCATTATCCCCTCCCAGAAGCCACTGCTCAATCCCTGGAAATTCCTTTTCAGCCCAATTATGCTTTTTTTTTTTTTTTTGCTGTTGCTGCTGCGTTACATATTGACAGGTGCAAGGAGGTGGTAATTTCATTTTGCCAGATGTCACGGGGAGCCCCGTGAGTTTGTCATACCTCCCTGGGTTGCTGTGAACAAGTTTTCAGAACAGTCTTTAGAGACCCCCCCATCTCCTCATTGAGCCTAATTGACTTGGGTAATTAAAGAGGGAACAGCCTTTACTCTCCTGTGGGTGCAAATGATGGTCTATTAAGACAATCCAGCAGGGAGGTTACCTGCAGCCCAGTGAAAATGCGAAGAAGCCCTTTTGATAGTTTCTGTGAGCAGGTGACAAAAATAAAAGGAAGAAATGTCTTTTACAGGCAAGGGTTAAAGTTTTGTCTTTTAAAAAAAAGATTCTTTCTTTTCCTTTCTCTATGTATCTTTCTCCAAAAATGACTTTTCATGACTTCATAAAAGAAACAGGAAAGACTGCCCCCCACCCTCAGTGGTGATTTAATAATGTATTTTTTACTTGGCAAGGAAGTTTAAATCCCAATTGTTAAGACAGTTGCTCTAAATAAGGTGCTGGCGTATTTAATCTCAAAACACTAAATCAGACTCATGCCATGTTGACATTGGCAAGATTTTAGGTTACTTCCATTCATCTCCCTGGGATTTGTTGGTGGCCGAGTGTTCTCCTAGCCACGGTTAAGTAAATTCCCATGAAGTATAGAATAAACATTTTTTAAAAAAATATATAAATTTAGTCAATCTTTTCAGTCACATTGGAATAGTTACGTTGTGTGTCAAAATTATGAAATGGTCAGCATTTGCGAATGCTGCCTTTTCTACCTTACTTGACTGGCAGTGGTTTTGCTAGATAGTGTGAATAATGACATGTGCAATTTTCTTAACAGCAAGAATCATTTTTACTTGGCAACACTTACATGTATTACTCAACCCTTCGAAGTGCAGTTAAATCATCATTGCCGCTTAACTGCCATAGCAAGGCTACCTCCTCTAGAAGGTGTCCTTGGGGCAGAGCAAAACCAGCCAATTTTCCACTTAATAATAATATATTACGATTCCTATGACACAAAGTTTCTCATACCTAATTTTGGACCAAGTTCTCTACTTTCTTGGTTCGGTCAGCCGAGCACAACTCGAAGCAATAAAATAGAAGCAGCGTTTTTCATAGCTGTCATTCCTGATGAACTTCCTTACTCTTGGAACATTGTTTTTTTTGTAGCTATGCCACAAAAAATAAGTCTTAGTTCTACAGGCAGTCCTCGACTTATGACCTCATCGGGGACCAGAATTTCCATTGCTAAGCAAGGCAGTCGTTAAATGAGCCATACTTCGCACTTAGACTTAAATACTGCTTCACAGGGCTTGACAGCTCTCTCTAAGTCGTTTACAGAGTCAGCCTCTTGCCCCCAACAATCTGGGTCCTCATTTTACCCACCTCGGAAGGATGGGAGGCTAAGTCAACCTGGAGCCTAGTGAGATTGGATCTGCCAAACTGCTGACAGTCGGTGATCAGCAGAAGTAGCCTGTAGCACTGCACACTAACTACTGCGCCACCGTGGCTCTTAACCAATTTTATGACCTTTCTTGCCATGGTTTTAAGTGAAACACTACGGTTGTTAAGTTAGTAGCACAGATGTTAAGTGACTCTGACTTCCCCATTGTCTTCGCTTGTCAGAGGGTCACAAAAGCTAAACAGATGACCCCAGGATCCTGCAATTGTTATGAATACATGTCACTTGCCAAATGTCCAAATTTTGATATTGTGAGCAGTGGTTGTTCAGAAACAGTCATGGTCCCTTTTTTCAATATCATTGAGGACCCAGATAGTTGCGGGCAAGGAGTGGTGCGGTGGCCTGGAGGTCTCGCCTCACAATCTGGAGGCTGTGAATTCAATCCTAGGTAGAGGCAGATATTTCTCTCTCTTGACACATTGAGAATTTATCTGCTGAACAAAATTCCGCATTGGCAACAGGAAGGGCATCCGGCCATTAAAACACTCTGCTAGCTCCCTTCAGTTGCTCAGACTCCACCCCGCAAGGGATTATGGATTTGTTAAGAGAAGGGAGCAAGATGCTGACTCTGTAAACCGCTTAGAGAGGGCTGTAAACGGTATATCAGTCTAAGGGCTATTGCTATTGTAACTTTGAATGAATGATAAACGTAAATCAAGGATTTCCTGCATGTTTAGTATATAAAGAGCGTGGTTCTCCGCACGGCTGCAGGCGAATATTCAGAAGGCTTGAAAACAAAGTCTGCTTCTTTCCTTTTCTTCAGGTGACGATAATGGGAAGAAAGCCAGCAATCCCAACCACTGTAACTGTATCATAGACCAAATCTTCACAGGTGGACTACAGTCTGATGTCACTTGTCAGGTCTGCCAGTGAGTATGATGAGCAAGCCCCTTGGGAATGCAAAGGCGAAATCTTCCTGATATAGATAGATGATAGATAGATAGATAGATAGATAGATAGATAGATAGATAGATAGATAGATAGATAGATAGATAGAGATAGAGATAGAGATATAGAGATAGA